CGTATAAGAAAGCTCATTGAATGATTTGATATAGATTTTTGTTACTAATAGTTTATTACTTCAGTTCATCAAACATTATTAGAAAGCCTAAACATATCATGAGACTTTAGACCACCCTATAATTGTTATCTGATAGTTTACCATACCTATATACAAGTATATATATATATATGACATAACGCAAGCATTAAATAAGCACTTTATATGTTTGCACAATTCTATCAATTCTAATTAAAGTACTTTTACGAAAAATTGAAAGTTCACTTTAACACTATTTGTATTAATTTACTAATAATAATTACAATAATTTGAAAGGTAAATGTATAAGAATTTTACCAAATAAATAAACATTTCGATTACTGAAACTACTAACAAAATTATAAATTTTTCTATCCTTAAAATATTTAACCAGTGAATAAGGCATAATATACAAATGTTTATTGCATTATCTTAATAAATTCTTAACACTAATAGTGAAGTTTTCTATCGATAGATTAATAGTACAATACGAGAAATAACCGATCACGTTTTAGTTAATAGACCTTCTTCTTTGGGATTTCATACACATAACTAACTGTACAATAATTGATTGAGCAAAGGTTTCAAATGATTATTATTTCAATAATTGAGATCTTGAGTCAATTGAAGCTAGACCACCATGGAAAACCTGGAAGCACTGGACGGCCGTTTCATCCTATTGTGACTGACTTCGAGAGGTATATCCTGGAGTTCTAGTGAGAAGTAGTGACCAGTGGAGTTCAACCAGGTCTGTTGTGAGATAGTAACTCACTGATGATAATGGTGGATGTGTCTCTCAATTTCGTGGATTAGTTGAAGTTAGATATTAACACCAATGAATCCCGGCAAGCTCAGTGGTCTATTGGTTAAGCGCTCGCGCGCGAGGCTGGTAGGTCCTGGGTTCGAATCTCGCGGAGGCGAGATCATGGATGCGCACTGCTGAGGAGTCCCATATTAGGCCGAAAAGGCCGTATGGTGCTTCCAGGTTTTCCACGGTGGTCTAGCTTCAATTGACTCATGATCTGAATTATTGAAATTACTACAATCTCCACAAAACTCCTTCTGATTATTATTTATGATAAAATGACACTTTTAATAATCATATTTAGAAATGTTATGAAAAAAAACCAAACAAAGCAAAGATGTTGATTATGAAAAATAGTGTCAGTCGCAAAAATATACTTATCAATGGTAAAGCTTTAAAAATAATAGCTCTGCTAAGTATATACCAAACGTACCTATCTAAAGAAAATAGGTAACTTAGTTAAATGATTACATTATCATGTTTCTACAAACAGGAAAACATATTACCCATAATACAACATATTGGAACTTATTTATCTGAGGAGTGATGCTTCATCAATTCAGATGCAAAATATGTAAGTAATAGAAAAGATGTAAGGCTTTTAGCACAAACATTGAAAATACACAACTGTCTAGAGGATGTATTTAGTTTAAATTCGTCTCAAACAATTAAAAGGAAAAACAGTAAGGGATCTACGTTGTATGAAATGTCTACATACATGTACTGGTTACTAAATATTAACCAATTTTATAATGTCTAGTCCTTAATATTTAATAGACTGTACAAATAAAATTATAGTACGAGTACTAGCCTTGATACACTAGTGGACTTTGTCTTAATGTTAAATCTGTTAAAATTGACTGGAAATCCTTAACTTATATTTTGTTCTTGATGACATTTTTCAGCAGGTAATGCACGACGTTTTGTTAAAAATGAATATTTTCAAAAAAATCCGAACTGTTATCATTCTCTAGTACATTAAATTGATTGTAACTCGACAATAATGTTTGCTTAGTGCTAAGAACTAAAAAATCAAAACAACAACACCGGTTACTACTTTGTAAATAACACCAATTTCACCCATATTAAAATAATTCATTCTTTAACTATATCATATACTTTAATAAGTTGTCTTTATTTTATTGTGTTACGTTTCACTAAGGTCAACTACTTCATAAAAATAGTGACTAGTACAGTTTAAAACTTGACTTTGATCTCCACAACAGTTTGATGTTACTGACGTTTCAAGAATTAAATTTGCTCAGGTATCAAAATCAGTTTGAAAAGTCGTTTCTAAATAAAATAAGATTATATATATATATATATATATATATATATATATATATATATATATATATATATATATATATATATATATTACATCAAAACACATTGCCAGAATCTAAATCTTGTTTAAATCATTATGTTCCATAAAACAGACTTGTGTACATGTGCTACTGAGCAACAAACATTGTAATATTTTGTTTATTTCAATTAAATCTAAAGTTCACTAAAGTGAGATGTTTCAATTTAACCGAAGAAAGAAATGAAATTAGTACATATGTTATGTGTATTACTATTAATTAAAAGAAACATTTAAAATTTATCTTTTGTTTGTTAGTGCATACGCGATTAAACGAAAATATACGTCAATATTAAGATTGAGAGTATTACTAATTATCTATAGTATACAATGAAGGTAAATAATAATCGATTTGTACAACCTGTTCTTATTAAACATTAAATTCAAATTACTGAGGAATTTCAAACAAATTAACAAGTATTTAACTTTGGTATAATTTGAAGTAATGTTGTGGTTAACAAACTGACATGATCTGCTATCCATTCAGGCACCATGAATGATTCAAAATCTAACTAACTTAATAAGACAATAGAAGAATACAAGAAGATTTAACAAGCCTCATGGCCTACTTTTAAATGAGTAATATTTACTTCTCAGCCGTACTCATTGGAAGGCACACTGACCTTGATATAGACATCCAAGTGATGACCTTATGTAACTCACTTATGGACATACTTGACAGATTCATTTGGTTTGCTCTACCGAACTCAGAAATTTCACTGATATCGAGTAACAATCATAAAATACTGTATGGCAGTGTTAGACAGGAAAAGCTTTGTTGAACAACAACTATCAACCAAAATTTCAAAAAAAAACGTAGTATTGATGAGAAGCTGACAACTTGATCTTAGACAATTCTGCCAATTAATCTTCAATAATTCGGATGCTTTCAAACACCACACTGAAATTAATAAATAAAAATTTATCCCAATTGATTTATCTTTCATTAGTTCACCCTTCAAAGTTACCGAATTGAATCGCAATGGTGTGGAGAGAATGCATACAAAATCTGAGTTCTTGTTTTTCACTCAATATATCGGAGACAAAATGCTATTTTCGTCAAATTTTTCCGAAATCTGCTATAGTTAGTTTTCAAAGTAAGCAGTAAATGTTCGTTTATCGAGTACTGCTGACGATTTTTTGACAATCTTATAATTGAAATTTGGTAAAAATAAACTTCCAATCCACTTTGTCAATCCTATGTAATATCTGATTTTTAATCCTACAGAAACAGTCTTTCAAACAGCTTTACTTCAGAAAGTACAATTTAAGATCAGTCAAATCATCAGATTTTCTAAACAAGTACATTAGCTGAATGAACAGTCAGTGTGCTGAAATACGGTTAGTTGGGTAAATATCAACCAAGAGATGGTTATACACGACTCGCAGTGACTAAAGCAGAAATAAATAAAAAAATCGATAAACCAGATGAGTTAAGTCCTTCCACAATTACGATTTCTCTCTATTTCATCCCAATATGCACAAATTTATTTTTCTGAATTAACAAACCAGGAAAATCATTTGACCTGTTTCTGAAGAACTCTCAAATTTCACAACCATTCATAATCTCCAAAATAGTTTATGACCCACAATTAGTTATATTCCTCAGCATTTTGCGAAACCTGATTTCCGAAACACTAACCTTCCTTCTTTAAACCATATTTTTATTTATTTTTCTCTTCTTCATGATTAGAGCACGAAAACTACTGGTTTTTAGAATGCTACTGAACAAATGTAATATTGTTTCCATAATAAATAAAGACTATTTCCTTCTTCTTATTACATTATCGAAAAATAAAGATTACTCGGAAAACTACTGTTTACTTGAATACACCTACCACTGTCTTTCAAACAGAGCACATAAGCATTCCTTTCAGATTTTACCTACTAACAAAAAGACTGGTATTCAAACGATAAATACTCGCAGAATTTCAAGTTGTTACTAAAGCAGGCCATACACTAAGTAGCAAGTAAATGTACGGATAATCTTTGTTTATGAGGGGTTCGATCTCATCAAATAATTCACGGGATTGTAACTATGGTCGTTGAAGTGTAAAGGAATATATAAATACAAATTCAGTAAACTTTCTGAATTAGTATTGTACTAAGTAACATTTTAAAACTTTACAATTATTTCCTTCTCTGTAGCTTAACCATTGAAATTTCTACTTGAAACTACGGATTATAACATGTTCATTAACTAATTTTCCCAATATGAGTCAGTTCTGATAGTTCTCAATTTTACGGATATATAATCTTTATCAAAACTAACTGACTTATGGCTTGTAACGAAATTAAAACATACATTTCTACTAGGATTAGACGCTTTGCAATCAAACTATTCATCTCAAAGAAATCATCACTAACAAAAGCATCAACTCTATTCAATCTAATTTTCTTTGCATTAGGTATAGTTTTCTAATGGAAATTACATCCAAACTGGATTTAATTATTTAGACTATAGAATTACTGAATGTAAAATAGATTCACTTTCTTCTCTGAATACTGTTGATAAATGTATTTCTTTAAAAGAATAGTGGCAAGAATTAATTCCATTATTAACAACAACAATAACAAACAAAAGATTTCAATGAAAAAATTTACACACAATAGTTTACTCTTAAAACTTAAATTTTTATCATGACAAACTTCTGTTTTTTATGGAATCGGTTAAAAAACTTAAATTTATTCTTGCAATACGTATAAAACGTTAAAAAATTAATTATACATTAGGTTAACAACTATAATGAACTTTGTTGCCAACAAACAATTTTCTATTATTAATTTCTTTTAAAAATTACTCATAATACTCACCAACTCTGCACGTTTTTGATAATTAGATAATATTGATGTGATTTGTTTAAAAAGATGTTCAATGGAATTATTCCTTAATGTGTTAAATCCTGGATTTTTAGTATTAATACCATTCTTCACAGTACTATTGATATGTTTATGAGTAGTGACTGAAGAAGTAGTAACAGTAGTATTGTCATTGCGTAATTTAGTCAATCCAATAGCTCTAATCAATAAACTTAACAAACATGCTGATCTCCATGGTTCTAATATTGAATCGGTTTTGATATCCCATACACCTAATGCATCTAAACTTATTAATTTCTGTGAAATGGATGATGACAGAGAAGAAGTTGATACCGAAGTTGATAAAGATGTTGAATCAGAAATTTTCAATGGAACTAGCAATGGCTCAATTATCCATTCCAATTCATTTAATGCTGGAATTGCTTTGAATTGTTTCATATCTTCGAGTACAGAGGATGAATAAACACTCGAACTGTCGTGTCCTGATGAACGCGGAGTGATATCATTATCATTGGATACATTTGCCTTGATATTTTTCACGTTTCTGTTTATTTCCATATTATTAATACTACCAGTATCATTTTTTGTAAATGAAAGTTCTAATTTATGGTCAGGTATACACCTTGGATCTTTAAATAAATATACATAACCACGTTTACGTGAACCAAAAAAGATGAGATCACCAGGACGAAGTTGTTGTCTTTGGAATTTCAGTGAACAAGATGGTTTGACCAAGTTATCATTAACATAAATCTCAATATTATCTTGTATACGATGAAAACTATTAGGTGTCATCGGACCACTAGAACTAACAGTAGGATCAATACTCTGATCCCATGGTTCAAGAAATACTAAACTTTCCTTAGATGAATTATTTGATGTGTTTAGTACATTATAACCTACAACTTTTGCAATAATACAATCCCCTTCAGATGAATTCATTTCAGATGGTGTAGGATATAGCCGAATATTAACGTGTTTCCCATAACCAATAGTCATATATGACTGCATTGCATTATCAATGATTAATTTGGTAACATCATGCAAAAGAACATCACGATCTGGTTGATTACCACGTAATAAAAGGAAATAAGGTCCATGTGGAATTTGTAGTCCTCTAAATGCACGACCTCGTCGAGAATCTTTGAAGTGTGTAATCCCATTTACAGGTGTACAAGATCTTGATGAATTTAATGTAGTTTGAGAAGCTGAAACAGAACCTCGTAAACTAGCCTGTGAACCATCTACACCTCTACTTTCTTTCATAAACATGGATCCAGTTGTATTATGGTCACTGTTTACGGGTCTAAGTTCTAATCTCCGGCATAATCCGTAACCTGGAATGGTGTTCTGTAATAATGAGATAATATTTTCATTTAAATCTATTTGACGAGTATTACGTTCAGTGAAAGACCAAATAGGTGTAGCTGATAAATGAGATGAAACTGGTTGAATATGTCCAATAATTTCATATAAACAAAAATCATCACGTGTCCCATATTTTAAATAATAAGTGTCAACTAACTCTTTAACAACTGATCCTGCCGTTGTTGAACCATTAATTCTTATAGTTTTAAAATGATCTCCTTCACGTACTTTTTCACAAAATATTTTAAGAAAATGCTTTTTAAAGCCATCATTCGTTATTATTTGTTCCCAGGATAAGTCCTTTGGATATGAAAAATATTCATTGTCTTTATTATTACTATTATCATATCTAATGTTGCTACTACTATGATTATTCCATATAGCAGATGATGATATGTTTTGACGCGATTTCGATGCTGAACGAGATGTGCGAAAAATCGACCTTTTCTTTTTTTCCGAGTTTCGCTCGTTAGTTAAAGTATTACCGCGGGGAATTTGAGAGTTCGAACCAAGGTTTGCAACTCTGTTTAACATGATTAAAAGACTAATCGATCAAATCAATCAATTAATAGTTTTAGAATCATTGATCATATGTGCGGAATTTTCGATCATCCCTTGATTTTGATAAAATTCTTCATGTGTACGCTATTTTATGCCCATGTTTGTAATAAATTTCAATAAATCAGGCGTTAACCAAATTGTCCAAATATTTATGTGCGTTCTTTTAGTCAAGATGTGATTAAACAATACAAATGGTTCATCCTACGCACTAACATATTTATTTTTAATATGTATGTATGGTCTTAGGTGTTGTTCTCTCATTGGCTAAAAACACAACAAGAATCGATTTCGTTCAGTCTGTCTGTACTTGCTACTCATAAACTATACTCCCTTAAGAAACACATACGCATATGTCTAGTCACTAATTTCTATTTCATTAAATTAGGTAATTATCTATTCTAAAGTCGTAATTAAATATTTGCTCATTTGTAAAGATTGTTTTGTTTTAGGATGGTTGTTGTTACTGCCACAAAATTCCTATACATGAAACCATAATCAACTAAATGGTTCATTTGACAAAAAAATGTCCCAGTCCTTAATCTTTACTACTTAACCATTTACACTGTTCTAGTCATGATGAATATACTGAAAATAGTTTTCTATTTAGAACTACTTGTATGTCTTATAAATCCTATTTAGTAGAATATCATATGGAAAGAATTACCGCTAAAAATGGTTATGCTGAACAATCCACAATTACATTTTTTTATATGTTTAGAATAACCGCCTAACTTTATTAGTGCGAATGAAGATTATTGTCTACACTTATAGTAAAGTTATTTGCAAGTCATTTTTTGCATAGTTGCTTTAGGTAGAGAACCATTGAAGGTCATTTCTAGTTAGATATCAGTTTTGTCCTACATTACGAATCCTCAACAATTCTTAATCTTTGTTTAACTAAGGTTCTGATGGAGAAAAGAAAAAAGATTATCTTTAAAATGAACAGTTTCAATCTACATCAGATTAGCTACAAAGTTTCAATGTCATGTCAACTAATATGAATTAAATAGATTAAACCAATAGAAGTTATTTTAAAAAATTATTTATTTGAAAGTTAATTTTGATCACTTAATTAAATCCTTATGCCGCAATAAATTACGTAACAGAATATTCTGCATAAAAGACCCTTTCATAGATACATATAAATGATCTACAGGATATACTAATAGAACAATCAACACAAGGATTATTTTAATCACTTGTTTTATAGATCCTAATAAATGTTGTATAGCTAACTAGTATTTTTTGTATATAATGAATTCTCGGAAAAGAGAACTCTTCGCTGAACTAATCTTTCTTATATAACCTAATTATCTGTAACCCAAAATATAGCTCACTATACAAATTAAAAGAAAATAACAATTGAAATATTTAATATTATTGTACTTGAAAATAATTATTTATGTAAATATATAATTAATTGAATAGAACAAATTGAAAAATATAATTCAAATTATAAGATTAATGTACATAAAAATTACTTAAAAGCTAAATCAACTAATAATGTTTAGTAATTTTATCGAGAATTTACTTGAAAATCCGTATAGGAAAAAAGAAAAGATGAAAATGTTTCAAAAAGAGTTTTATGTAATGCCATGCAACACCAATATATATATATATATATATATATATATATATATATATAAAGTTAAATTTTATAAAACAACAAGTTGACATTCAAATTACAAGTATATAATGGACATTGTAGATAAAAAATTATTGGTATTGTAATGAAAGATATTATACTACTTGTGAGTAGAGAAAACATATCACAGTTAAGTTTCAAAATATAATTCTATTTTAACTTGGTCTAATGAATAAATTCTCAAAATTAATTTAATAAATATTAACATTTTAAGATTATTAATTATGCACAATAATAAAGTAATGATTAATGTGTAGGTTTTATAACAGTTTACTGCTGGACCGTCAGAGAAGACACATTTCCTTTTATTGTTTTCTAAAAGCTTGAATCAACTGTGAGTAAATGAATTTACGTTGTTGATGTGTGCCATAAATAAGTCAGGCTAATTTACAATACCATTAAATCCAGTTTATAGAGAACTTGAATATGAAACAGGACAATACCTCTCTATGATAACTTCAAGGTAAACTTTAACACATTTGACAGGTATGCATGTTACATAGCCAAAATTAGTGAAATTAAGGAAAATTCCAAGGATCTAATCAACATCATATGGTAGTTTATACAACTATATTGGAATAACGCTTGCCAGCATACATCGTAAATGTTGGTAGGGATCACAGTCACTTAATCTGCAGAGTTTAAGAAGATACTGTACACGCGCTTCTATTGAAATAAACCTGTGTGAATGACTTGATTTTATTGTGCCAGTAAGTCTTTTTGAGGAAGACAATAATATCATCCCTTTTAGCAGCTAGATCTCAAGGTGAAAAACTAAAAGATACACGTACTTAGTTGGTGAAGACAAAATACTGCATGTTAGAAACAGGGCTTTAAATAGAGAAACAAATTCGTCGATTCAAGCTTCAGAGGTAAGCATAATTCCATGGACTGTAAATCATTCATACGTAAAGAATTAGATGGATACAACATAAAGATACTCGATACATCTTAAAGAAAAATTTAATCGAAGTTATTCGTCAATTGTCGATGAATATTACGAAAGTAACAGAAAATTATCAACTAACTGATCAATGAACACAGAATAATGCGTACTTTTTTCAGTCTGTAATGCTAATCAAATTTTATCGATCATCAATCAGCTACAACGTAGGACTAGGCACATATATGCATAGGCCCAAGTTGCCATACCTCATTAGCACAACAAGATGAAAATCGTATTCATAAAAGCAGTTAATTCAACGGTAGTAATATATAAAAGAAAGATTGCATATAAGGATATAGTACAGGAAGAGAGAATTAGTTCATAAAAGGGAAGATATGGAGTGATTTTAATCTCATAGTTTAAGGGAAGACAGAGAGTGTATACACCTACGCCATTGCGATCGATGCTGAGTCATGTCAACCAGTCTCCAATCATTGGTTACGATAGTCATCTACCAACATGACTCGGACTAGAAGTTAGTGACTTCAAGCACTGATGCCACGTTTTGGTTAGGTCGCTCCTAACTTTCTTCCAACTATTCCCAACACTGGTCAGCATTACGTATCGAGGTAATCGGTGTTCAGGCATACATAACATGTGGCCCAGCCAGCGCAGTCGATGAGGATTCACAACCTCCCTAACTGATTTACCATCATTCCCTAATACCCTGCGTATAACCTCACTATTACTTTCCCGGTGATCTCAGCAGATACGAGCGATATTTCTAAGACATTCGTGACCAAATACTAGTAAATTAAGAGTATCTTCTACTATTAATATCATTGTTTCGTAGCCGTAAAGTAAAACAGAACGAACTGCTGCACAGTATACTCGTCCCTTAATTGATGGACGGATATCTCACCTTCACCATAGGCAACGTAAGTTGGCGAAAGCCAAACGAGCTTTTCGAATCCATGCTGAGAGTTGTCGACGTGTCCAACCACTTCACTCTCTACCCTTAGTTCAGGTATTGACGCAGGATAGTCCTGAAGCAACAACTTGCATTTAAACGGAGAGAAACTCATCCCAAACATTTTGATTGAGTTTTGTTCTCTGAAGTCGTTCAGAAGAACGATGAAAGCTCTACGACCAAACCATCCAGCTCAGAGTACAAAACTCCATCAAAATCATCCACCTGAGCTACAAATCTTCTCCAGCATCCCAAACATCTTGGCATTGTTGCTCAGTGCTACTAAAAGATTGCATTTTATCAACGTATTCACCAAACAGGACTATTTCAACTGCGTATTCTAAGTTGGTAAGTGGTAGGAGATCAATCCTCCAACAGTAGGTCAATGATGAAATCAAACAGAAATGGAGATAGTGAACAGCCTTGACGGACACCACTTGAGGTTGCAAAAGCAGATAACAGTTCGCCATAGGCGAGTTCCAGTAAAGAGCCTTCACAAGGTCAATAGTTCAATGCTGCTTTTAAGTCAAGGAAGACCACCATTGTCGGACACCAATAAGCATGCGTGTGTTCTAACATCTGACGAACGGTGAATATGTGGTCGATGCACCCACGACCAGGTCCGAAACCAACCTGATTTTCTCTCATTTGCAGTTTACGAGTCTTAGTTAGGCGTCCGATAATTATTGAGGCTAGTATTTTAGATACTAGATTAGTCAAACTGATCCCTCTATGGTTATAGCAGGATGATTTTGACCCCTTCTTATATGTTGGGATGATCAGTGATTACAACTCGTTGGATAGAATTACGTCCAACTTCCAGATCTTAGCTAAAATATTAGTCAACTTAGTTGATAAAACTGAACCACCATCCTTAAAGACCTCTGTAGCTAATCCATCTTCTTCATTTCAGATTAGCTATAGCTTTTTGAAATTCAATTAGAGTCGGGGGAACCACTTCAATGTTCCATTCAGGCTGTTTGGGAATGGTAGGTAGCTGAAGGCCAGCTGAACTGCTCCTTAAAGTGTTACTCCATCGTTCTAAACGTCCGAAATGGTCTCACGCTTGACTTCTTAATTCCAGTTTATTTCATTGGTCTGAAAAGCTGTCTAGTGTTACCCAAAGCCACTGTCTATTCCACCACTTTTGCCTTCATTGAACACCACGGCTCATGGTCGTTTCTTAGACTTTCGGTCAACCTAAATCTGATCTGCTTTCGCTCTTCATTGTGTTCGCAGACTGATGGGATCAGTTGAAGATAATCCATCAATGCAATAGACTCACAAGAAACCCATTTGTTTATATCATTAATAGATGTCGCTGCTGTTTCCACAGCTGTTCGTATATCTTTCCCCGACCGTAGCTGCTACCTTGACGTGGTAGTCGGGCTTGCCTATCGTGATAACCCAACCGAGCTATATTGGCTTGAATATATGTTCCTGCAGGTTCTACCATGCCAGGCAGGTCGGTTGGAAAACCGTAGGACTAAAAGCAGCAACTCAAGGTCTGAGGGCAAAATCGTACAGCTGACCGTACAAATTTGTTAATTTTCTGAATTAACAAACCAGGAAAATCATTTGACCTGTTTCTGAAGAACTCTCAAATTTCACAACCATTCATAATCTCCAAAATAGTTTATGACCCACAATTAGTTATATTCCTCAGCATTTTGCGAAA